GGCAGGGAGGCCGGGGTGCTTTTCTCCCCGGCACTTAGGACAGGAGGAGACTGAAGCTTGTTATCAGCTGTGCAGATGGGAATGTGGTGCTTGTCCCCAGCCCCACAGGTGCGGAGCTGGGGCTTATCTACAGGCAAGTCTGCTGCGGGTGGCTCCCAGTCAGGCAGTGCACCAGGAGGGTGGGGGGGTGTGTGGTCCCAGTCTCCAGCATGGGAGGGGAAGTGGTCTTTGTCCCCCGGTTTACCAGGATGGAAGCTGGACTGCTCCTGCTCTGCATCTCTGCTACCAGGCACGTCCCCAGGCACGCCTGGGGTGTGGAGAGGTGGAAGGGGGTCCTGGCTTCCAGGTGCACCCGGTGGGTGGTTCTGCTCCCCAGGTGTGCTGCTGCTACCTTGGAAATCCTGCTCTACTGGTGCACCCGTCTGGAAGTGAAGTCGGTTCTCGGGCAGACCACTATAGAGGTGGAGCTTGTCTGGAGCACCGGCAGAGAGATGGAGCTTTTCTAGAGCTGTGCCAGCTTCAGCCTCTCCATAATTTGTGCTTTCAGCATGAGCATCTCCTGGCCTTTTCTGAGACTGGGCGGACGCTTGCTGCGCGGACTCGGCTAACGCTAGGGCCAGCATGCGCGCCGCGTTTTTCGGAGGAGGAGGAGGGATAAGAGACACAGAACTGACGGGAACAGGATCCTGGGGGGAGTCGAGGGCAACTGCTCCTAATGGGGGGAAAATCGAGAGAGAGAGTTGATTTTATGTTACCCAATAAGGAGTGACCTAACCGTAATGACTACTATAAAAAAATAGATGCTTTCCACACTTTTTCACAGTGGCAGTTCCTTGTGAGGTGAAACACGACTTACAGCTCATGTCTCACATGCAAACGCTGCTCAACAGCACAGCAGTTCATCACAAAAAGGGAAAAGAAAAAACCACAAGAGATTGTCTAAAGGCTCCTCTTGCATTTCTAGAGAGGTAGGAAGCAGAGAATGAGACACCCTTACACAATTTTGATCATAAGGTTTTAGGCGAAAAGGTCCCTTCTTCGAGTGTTGGCAGACTTTTAATTTAAAAAAGAAAAGTCTTACGTGGTCTATTGGCTGAAATGATTTAGAAGGACATGCTAGAGATTTTCACATATGGCAGGATGGGGGGGTAAAAAAGTGGTATATAGAGTATTATGTGATTTGTGTGATGGAGGGAGAAGGCAGAGGTTAAGACCTTACTGATCTGCACAGCCCTGCAAGACACTTGTGATCAGAACTGACGGGCAATCCCCTCTCCTAAAAGGCACGCAGAGGAGGACGTTTCCGAGAGCAGGTCCCCTTTGGAACTTAAAGAAAGAATGGAGGAAAATACACTGTACCTGGCTGTGTGTGTCCAGTGGGTACAGTCTTATTCTGACTGCTTGACATTGGTCTCTCCCCTTCTTCTGGCAACTCTGCTTTGCCAGCAGCCACTAGCTGGGTGTGCTGTAGCTCTTGGTGGGCTCCTTCCCCTGCTCCTGTTTCACTGTTTTTCAGGGGCAAGGACATCTGGGTTGGGGACCTGTTTGTGATTTCAGTCATGCCAATCCCTTTGCTCCAGCTGGAAGCAGAGGAGTTTCTGGATGTGACGGGCACTGCTCCAATGGTTTCTGGCATGCGGCTGGGCAGCGCGAAGGAGACGGGTTCTGGTGTAGTCAGTGGTGGAGATTTGATGGGTTTCCGGCCCGTTGGGGGTGAGAACGTGGGGGGTTTGCAGCTCTTCTCTTCCGTGGGGCTCAGGTCCAGAGTGAAGAAGGGACTCATCTTCTCGTGGAAAGGGGAAACTGGCTCAGAGCTCGTGGCACTGCCTGGTGTCTGGGACTGGCTGCCTGATTCTGTATCTTTCTTTAGTAGGCTTGGCTTCTCCTTGTTTATGCCAACTGACTCCAGCAGGGAGGTACTGCTATCCAGGCACTCGGACTCTGCTTGGGGTGGGCTGCACTGAAAAGACATAGGGTCAAAATCCAGGCTTGCAACTCCGATATCTGGTGGGCTCAGGTCAACATCTTCAGCAGATCGAGGAGATATCAGGGCAGGAACGTGGATGAGCCCCTCATCCCCATCACTGTCATCGTGGGGAAGGTTGTCATAAGAATTGCAGCGATTCATGTTTCCCAAGAGTTCTCCGTTGAAGGAAGCAGACAGTGCATCACTACTGGACCTAGGTCTTCTGGGCCTAAAGAGTTTAGATTCACCTAGAAAAGGGTAGACAGAGATGGGCTGGTGTCAAATCTTATTCTCAAGGAGGTGACGGTTTGGTGGTCTTTTTAAAGTAGTTTTAAGGCGGTGTGTGAGATGCTCGCCTGGTTAACTCTTACACACAAAACCAATGTCGCTAGCAGTAGCTCTTCGTTGTGTTTGCTCAAACAGTCTGGTCTGATTAAGTCTGGAACTAAGCTGCGTGCACAAGTAAAACTAGTTTAAGCATGCTGTAGAACTGAGGCTTTCTCTGTGATACCCATCTGTGCTGGGCAGCAGTAAGCTGCTTCATTAGTTAGCAAGTCCAGCTTTTACTGGAGGGTTAGAAATTAAGATCTGCAGTCGGTAATGCCAAACTGCCTTTTTAAATGCACACAGCTTAAAAGGGCAGGTACAATTCGTCTTACCATCAACAGCATGCAAGGAGGTGAGTGATTCTTCACTCTTAGCTGAGCGAAGAGTCCCACTGTCTCCTCGTCCACCTGAGGGAATGCAGCAAGACAGGGAAAGGCTGAGTTAAGAAGTGGTTTATGTCTGGCTATGTAACACTGTCAGGAAACCCACAAATGGGTTTCTAGCAACAGTAACAGTTGTGCTTTATTTTAGAGACTGGGGAAAAGTAACCCCCCTAAACAGTAACTGCTGCAGATGACAGGTTGGGAAACAGCCCTCCCATCATTCTGCTGCAGGATGTCTGCATGTACCCATGGTAATTGGTTGGCTCCTGCCAGCAAACAAAACCCCTTAAAAATGGGGAAGAATGTAACATTTACACAACTTGTTTGGTGAGCACTGAACAACTATGACTTCAGTGCTCTGAGAGGACAGCCATAAGGGCACTCATAGCATGCGTTTGTTACCCTGAATTCTCAACAGTCTTAATCTGAAAATGGCACCAGGTAAAAGAGGGGCTAAAAGTCCTCACTAGCCTGTGTTTAGAGATTTGTGGTGTGTTTTACCATTGCTATTTTTAAATTAGGAAAGAGACAGTAAACTATATATGGGAAGGGCTGAGAATTCAGCCTATGTACGTTGGATGTGGCTATAAAAAGTTAAAACTTTCGGGGTGAATGTGTTTGTGGAAAAGTGCCTTTACTTTAACTGGTGTCTTTTGACAGCAGCAAAGGGAGCCAGAACTTCTTATTTCGTAATAAGTGTCATAAGAATTACTCTGAGACTTATTACAGTGGTGCCCACGTATGGTCTTTCACAGGCTACTCTGAGAAGAGTGCTAAGACGTGTGTGCTCTAGATCTGAGCTAATGTGAGAGCCATTTAGGAAAGACAGCAGTTAGCTGAAGGTGTCATGCACGACTCGAACGCTAGACGGAGATAAAAGCACACTGCAAATGTGAATTATGCACTGCTGGAAAGGCTGGGTTTTGGGAGCTGGACCTGCAGCCTCACCTGCCAGGGCTATGGCTTTCATTTCTGAGGGCTCACTGGGGTTGCGCTGCAGCTTGCGTTTGGACACGGATGAGGATTTTCCCAGGTTGAAAAAGGAACGCCAACTGCCGACTGGTGACTTCTTCATCTTGCTGGGAGGCCTTTTCCTGGAGTGAGAAAACAGGGCAAACTGCTGGAGGGGGAAGCTGCACTTAGCCCCTGTTACTGGCCGGTTGTTATTAGCACTGTCTGGTTTATAGAGCTTAGAAACTCAGACTCTTTTCAATAGCTGAGGATGGTTTTTGTTCCTATAGCTCAGCCCTGAAGTGTTGCTGGGTAAATTTCTGGTGTGGTGCAGCTGAGCAAAGCCCCACACTCATACAGCACAGCAGTGAAGGGGTGGCTTTTATTTAGCTGGCAGATGTACCAGTTCTCTATGCATTGTGAAAGCATCTCTTGCTGATGCTGTAAAATCACATTTGCCTCCTCCCACTGCCATATTTAGTGTCATCACATCCATTCAACTGCTCCCTTTTGAGGGGAATCTGGATTTGTTCCAGGCACTCAGTCCTGAAACCTGGAAAACCCCCATGTTTCCAGGTGTTCACCCCACTTACATGTCACTGTGTGTGACTAGTACAGGTATCTCTATGCATCACATAGAACAAAATGGTTTTATACATATAATAACCTTGCTGAAGAGGTGGCAGAGGCACAGAAGATACATGGCTAAACTGAGTCCAGCAGATAGCTGATGTAAGCTGAATCCTCAGAGTCCAAAGCAGGTGGGAAACTGGCTACAGTACTGCAGGTATGATTAACGTAAGTCAATATTGTCAAGATTTTGCTGTAATAAAACCCCAAACCAGTTATGACATGTGCTGGAAAGGAAACTCGTCTCTACCTTTCGGATGGGAAGTCTATGACTGTGTGGAATTTCCCCTGTAAAGCTGCAGGGCCTTCTCCCACTTCTATGTATTTGCTGTCTGCCACGATGGGAGAGTTGATCTGGGCTTGTGTTCGTGCCTGGGCTTCCTCCAGTGTGAGTAGCTTGGTGGAAGGAGAGGACACCAACAGAGACTTGGGCCGTGATAAAGAACTGTGCCCTGTAAGGGAAAACCACAGGAAACAGGAGAATCAGAACACAGCAGCACAGAGATCAAAGCTCTGCTCTGTGTGTCTAGGGAGGTGCTGTGTTTTCCTAAAGCTTTGTTATCCCAGCCACTGAAAGACATGATCAGGGTAACCCTTTCGTTAGAGGCATGGTTATGACAAAAATTCCTGTAATTGAGAGCAGCTTAGTGTCTTTTAAGAAACAGAGAGGTTAGAAACCCACATGCACATAAGCTTTCCTTAAGCTTCACCTGCATGCAAAAGCCTGTAAAGAAAGCTATGGGTTTATTCTTACACAGTTTTGGTCAGCCCCAGGTTCCACCTCTGGGTGCAACAGAAGTGCTGTGTGTGAGTTAAGGGGTTGGTGGGAAGGATGCCATTGTATCTACACCCTGGTTGGTTCCTTTCCTACTGCTGTTCCTTCAGCACCCCAGCTCTTGTGTAGTATATGAGTTTGTCAGCTGTAAATACCATCTCAGGTGAAGTTTGGGTTCCAACTCTCTTTGCCTTACCTGGAGAGGCTTAAAGCAGGCTTGGGAATACTGCTTTCACCTCTCAAGGGTGGAAGTGGGTAAGAAGCCATGCTCAAAGCCAGGCTCCTGGAAGTGCTGAAGAGATGCTGCCTTGCCTGCTCCTGGCTCATCTGCTGTGAAAAAAGCCTGAGCCATCTCCCTGCCAGTTTTGTGTCAGAGCACACTGACTATGAATGACCAAGTCGTTGAACAATTAGCTGAATTTCCATGGTCCATTCTAAGCCTGGATAATCATTTGGCTCTGATTCTTAGCATGCTTATCTTGCCCTGGCAGTCTTCAGCCTGCTGTGGGCTATTACTGCTCAGCCAAGCTAACCTCTGGCTCCTCTTGACTTAAAATTGCCATCCAGTAGGAACAGAAGCTGGACTTGGAGCAACTCTGCTGTCTAAGAGGAGTTGTTTAAAAGAGGGAGCAGTAAGTACACTGGAAAACCAACTATCTGTACCCCACAGGTGGTTGTACCTGGAATGGCTGTGCACATTTCACAGGAAAGGCAGGTTACCAAAGTAGATGGTACATGCTGACTGCTGCTTAGGAGTAGTAACAGCTCGTGGTACCTAAGTTTGGTGAGCTAACAGAGAGTAAACTCCCTTGATGCAACTCTGCTCCTTTTCAATGGAATGAGTATACTTACAGCAGATGCCAAAATACTCCCTGTCAAGTTCCTTACTTACTCTGTATTCCATTACTGAGTACAGAAAGCTTGCTTTAAATTGCTTTGTTTCTCTATGTTCTAAGGTGCTGGTGAGGGTGGACAGATCAGGCACGGTGTGGTACTGAAAGGCAGCTCCAATGGACATGCAGGAGCATTCTTGAGGATAGTTTTAAAAAGAAGGGGAAGGGAGCAAGGGGTACAAAGATTGAGGAGATTCCTTACAATTTCTCAGTGCTAGAACATAAAAGTAGCAGCCAAACATTAAGATGCATGCTTATCCTTGGCTTCTATGAAAGGTGCTAACAGCAGTTTCTAATACCAGGCTGTATTTGCCAGGTTCTAACATCATTACCCTGGAAATCTGTCTTTTAGTTTATAGAACAGATGTATTTTCAATGTCCCAGATGCCCATTAAGCGCCTGCTACCTCTTCTGATCAAGGTGCAGCTCCTGGAGGAAGACACTTACCTGCTCCATCCCGTATGACTGAACTGAGCTTGGAACTGAAGAGGACATCCACGTGGTTCAAGATGAATTCCACAACCACTGACTGGATGCGTACCTCCATGAAGGCAGCGGTTCCACTGAAGCAGGCAGACTCTATCTGCTTTGATCTGAAGAGAAGGCAGAGGAAATGAAACACAAACAGCCAGAAGAACACTTGAAGATGTGCTCCTTTTGGGTAAGGCTTTTGTGATTTTGCTGGAGAACAGCTATCTGTGTTTTATAAATATAAAACCTCATCTTGTACTGAAATGGGGGAAAAAAGCCAAAGAGTACCTCAGGAGGTTTGGAGCCCAGACAATTGCTAAGTTCTTGGTGTGCATGTTTGTGATGGAGCAGTAATCAGCAAGACGAGCCAAATGCCTCATTAGGAACTCCAGTGTCCTGGAAAAGAGGAGATAGGCCAATGTTCAGCACGGATGAGCAAAGCCATGCTGTGACTTACAAAACACACCCCTGTTCATTAGTTTCTTTAGGTTTGACAGTTCCCAGGAAATAAAATGTTGCACTATGTACCCTAAGAGTGATGGTGAAGTTGTCTTTAGCAAATAATTATACTGGGGTGAGTGAGGGTGTCTGTCCTCATTTGTGCAGGCTCAAGGAAAAGCTTCTCAGTCCAAGGGCTGGATCCAGAAGCAGAGTGCCCTGGAAATCCACTGCTTGGCTGCTTTACTGTAACACTGGGCTGCAAAACTCCACTGTGTCTGAGTCTACTTATGAAATCACTGGCTCCAGGGTTCTTGTACGTATACAAAGGTTAAACTTCACAGGGACAAGGCCTGGAGTGTGGATGGATGTTTCTGGCTGCAAACTAAACGGAGAGCTCTAGCACCCCGTGGAACCTGCATGGAACTTCTCTGCCCAGAGCAGCACAACAGTAAAGTGTTTTCCCTCTCTTGTACACTGTTTTGCGTCCTAGTGTCTCCCATGTCCCCTCTCTGGTCTAGGGCTACACCACACACAGAAGACTGATGAGCTCCAAGTCAAACACCTTTGTTCACCCCCATAAAATGAAGAGCCATTTTAGGGAAAAGGTGGAATGCACCAGAGAAAAGGAGATCACTTCTGAGAAGGACCCTCTCAAGGCCCTGTCCCCTTATATAGAGTATTACCATTAGTCAACATAAAGTACCAGCTAGTACACTAACACACACATTTATAGCTTTTATAACACATTAGTTCAGACTAATGCCCAGAGGGTTAGTTATTGGTATTAAAATGACATATAAGACAGTTACACCACTCAGGAACAGCACTGCAATGGTCCAACTAACCACCATACATTACAAAGATTCAAATAGTCATAGTGTCTAATCATAAACACATAACATTTTCATACCCCATTAAGCTGCACAGAACTCGAAAACAAGATCAACAGATCCCCTCGTTTCAATGTATTAGCATAAATTACAATACATTAACATAAATCTTCATACATCTGAATAGAGTTGGGGCATGAAATTAGCCAGTCCACTCATTTCAATTTTAGCATAAATTACCATATATTAAGATAGAAATTTAATATTTCTGCATAAATCTGCATAGAAAACAAGAAATTAGCAGCCCCCATTTCAATCTATTAGCATAAATTAGCATCATTAACATAACTCTCCGTGTATATGTATAAATCTGCATAGAGGTAAAAAACCCAAGATCACCAGATCCCCCCATTTCAATGTATTAGCATAAATCTGCATAAGGCCAGATCACCAGATCACCTCATCCAAGTACATTTGCATTTACTTGGATAAATTAACATATATCAGCACAAACCAGCACTGATTTACTTTGCTTTATCTTGTTACTTGCTTATCATTCTTTACACAGTAAGTAGTTATTGACATCCAAATAACTTTAGGAGTTGCACCCAGCCATAGAATAATTAGGGTTAAGATCATCTAGTTATTAGAATACATAACTGTTGAAGAGAACTTACCACACCCCATTACAATACTTAGTTAACTAAAAGACTCATTATCATATACTATTATGTTATTAATACCAATCACCATCTTTTTTGTGTCTAATGCTTTTTACCATAACTTTTAATACTCAAGGCTATTAACGTGTCCTTGACTATTAAACACAATCACTTACGCTCTAATAACAAATTAGTAACTAATTTGTTAGTTACACAATAACTCACAAATTAGTTATTAGTAAGTTGGAATATGTTATGGTCAGCTGGTGTTTTTTAAACACCATAACAGAATTAGTCTACTACAACATTGTATTTGCCTCCAAACAAGGAGGCAAATAAGACTATGCAGAGGAGACAGTGTTTGCTAAGGAGCAAACTTGAGCTAGAACCCATCTATCGTGACACTGACCTGTAGTGAGGAGGGGGCAGCTGCTGGATGACATCATGGATTTTCACCAACCGTTCCTCATCTGTAGCAGCAGAAACAGCATCCTGGAATGAGACAGGAAGGGATTTAGCTGCAAATAAAGACTCAATACCTGACACATCATCTGGATCCACGTGGCCTCTGCAGCACTGAGGTGGATTGTGTTGGTCTTTACCTTCTGGGGACAGAGCAGCACACAGATAATGTGAGAAAGGTCAAGTACATCAAGATCTGGGCCGCTTTATAACATCACAGAATCAAACAGGTTAGAAAAGACCTTTAAGATCATCAAGTCCAACCATTCAGGACAACTCATGCTGGCACCTCAGTACCTATAGTAAGAAAACTGAAATAAAGACTTTCAGAATCAGACTTTAAAATGGAGCCTTTCAGCCCAAATGTTCAAAAGGGAACAAGAGGTGGGGAAGGTCCCCCCGTGCTCTGAAACAGGGATGAAAAAAGGGGGAAAGAACTGTGGGATTTATTGTTTTTAAAGCTACCTGTATAACGTGGGTTCAAAACAAGTAATTTTAGATGCACTGCCTGGGATTTGGGGCTTATTTATCTGTGTATATAAACAGTGACAAAAATACAGAGTTGGACATGGATCACTTTGTTCTGATGTTGAATTTGGACACACATAGAGAAGCAGGAATTAGGCAGCAATTATTACTACAGGTGAGACCGAAAAGAGAAATCTGCATTCCCTCCTCCCAGCAAGGCTGTGCATCATCACCTTTAAAACAACTGAGCCATTCCTTACAGGGGTGTCCAGCTCCAAGTAGTGCTTGCTTCTAACCCCAGTCATGGTCAAGTAATCACTGGGGGATGACGAACGATAAGGGAATTCTTAGTTATGTCCCAATAGCCTCGACCTGGGGCCCCACAAGTGGAATTAAGATGGTGTGGTACAGAGGACAAAGGCACGTGTTAGTAAACCTAAAGGGGGAGCAGATTTCATCTCTCTAAAGACCCCAACTTAAGTAGAAGTAAGACAAAGAAAGGTGTATGTAAGACAGGTTCAGCTTCCTGATGGATCCTCTTCAGTGTTTCTCTATGTGGATGAAGTTGAGCTGAAGTGGAAAGTCAAATGCATTGCCTGGCACTTACTGAGAACTTCTCATAAAGCTGGTAGGTGAGCAGAGGGTTTGGGAGCTCACGGAAGTACAGTTTGCAGAGGGAGCCCACACAGTGGATGTCCTGGATGTAAATATCCTTTGTCAAGTCAGGGATCTGCTCGGAGTCAAACTCGTGGCTGGAAATGAGAACAGAAAAATGGGCAAAGGGGGTTGGAAAGGAGGGATGAAAAGAAAAAACAGCACAAATAATAAGGCATTTTCAGCTAGTTTTACAACTGACTGCCTGGCCTGCAAGCCCTATTGCTGCAACAGAGCTTTTCCCAAAGGCTGAGCATGTCTTCCACAAGCACAAAGGCAATCTGAAGGTTTAACTGTGACTGGGGGCTGCCTGCTGGAGCACAGTGCCCAACTCTGAAGGAAAGCTGCTGTCCCTTTGCATTGCAAAGGCTTGGAATTCAAAATGAGAAAGCAATGCCCACCAGCAGCGCCATCAGCACACGGGAACTGGTGTAAGCAGAAATCCCCTGGGGACATGCCCCTTCTACAGGGTGAAGGGAGCCAGGAACCACATGAAGAAAATCCCTGAGCATTCCCTTGGTTTTCCAAGAGAGAGGAAAACCCAAATCACACACATTTATGAAATAAAAGCTGAGCTGCTGGAATATGTGCATGGAAAGTGCTGGTTTGAATTAGGAAGAGAGACTGGCAGGGGCTGCGAGAACACGGCTGCTCCCAATGAAGCTGCGTTTCCCTAAGAGGGGCTTTCAGCTGTAAACCAAAACTACTCATCAACTGCCTACACTGCAGCCACAATGTCAGGGGCTTGGTGGCAACATCCCCAGCCTCTCCCACTGTCCAAGCCAGGCAGTTTGTAGCCCAGAAGACAAAATGTGCCTTCAGCACAGCTCAAACACAGAGTTCACCTCTCTGCCAACAGAATGGAGCCCATCTGTACCTGCGTCCAAGGCATCAGGTGCATTTGTAACTGCAGCCATCACCACTTACATCCCTTACAGGATGAGGAAGCAGCTCCTGCCTTCCCCTAGACACAATGCTGTGTGACAGAAGCCAGACTGGGGGGACAGAAGAGGTCTCTGCTGATTCAGACCAGAGGCTAAAGAGCTTATCCCAGTGCGCTGGATCTGGTGCCCTTACCGTAGTTTCTGGATGTTGGAGGCAATCCCGGACAGACGATATATCCCATCCACAATGCCATGTTTCTCAATGAATTCAGTGCAGCTCTTGAGGACCTGTGGGACTAAGGAGCAAGTGTCGCTGGTTAGTTGAGCATGTTATTAAAGTCCTAGTTCAGGCTGTGGTCTTGTCAGATGCCATGCACTAAACCCAGATGAGCTATGGCTTTAGTTCTTCTTTTAGTTCTTAGAGGAGAAAGTCTGTAAGAAATTTCACTTTAGGAGTTGGTGTGGAAAGTGGTCAGAGGTTTTCTTTGCTCTAAAGAACTGCCAGGATGTGAATCAGGTTGAACAAAGCCATCTGTGGTCAAGCAGAGACAGTGCAGGTCCCATCACACCTCCCACAAGAACTGTGGCATTGAATTACATTCCAGGAGAGCTACAGTATTGAGTAAATACATAATATTAGCCAAAGATTTCTTTTGTTTTCAAATCTATACAGGATTAACCCTTACCCCTTGGCTTAACCAAATGCAAACGTTAAGGAGATGCTACTTTCTGTACCAGAGCCAGGACAGTTTTAGTTTTTACAACTGATAATTTCCCCCCCAAGTGTCTACCAGAGCATGACTGGATTTAGAAGCTACACAATGTACCCCACTCACAGAAGCTGCAGACAAACCAGGCTATGACAGAATGGAAAGAATAAGCCCAGAGGATATAATTAGGTGTCAAGTTAATATTCAAACCGCTTCACCAACCAATTCCTTCCAGCTGACTTCTCAGCCTCATGCAGCATCCACTGCTGGAGCTATCTGTCCACCCTTGGAAGCTGAAGGAGGAGCAAATCACCTTATAAAAGGGAGATGAAACTGCCCTGAACACAGAAAGAAAACCTGGACTGAGCTTTTGTGAGCATCAGCAAACCTTCATAAGAAAAAGCTCAGATCCCTGTGGATTCCTCTGCAAGCTCCTGTGCTGATCTACATTTATTCTTACGTTAGGTGACAGGTCTGATTAATTTGCCACATGACACAGATTCTGAATAGGTCAAGTGGCAAATCCCCTTACATCAAGCAGCAAATGCCATCTGTGAGTCCATTCTCCTGCACTCAGATGCTCTGTGCTTTCCCCTCTGCAGCCTGAGGAAAGACCCATACTAAAGGGTTCCCGGGCAATCAGCAGGTGAGTCCTGAGCAAAGGGCACTTGTGCTGTGCACCCGAGCCCAGGGCACAACAAAATGGTCCTAAATTCTAACACTGTGTCAAAAAACAATTTTGGAGGACAACTCTCAGCCTTTCTGCAAAAAGATTCAAACCCTCCAGGTTTCTTATAGCCCCTTTAGGCACTGGAAGCTGCTCTAAGGTCTCCCTGGAGCCTTCTTTTCTCCAGGCTGAACAAGCCCAGTGCTTGAACAAGCCCCTAATGCTCAGCTCCACAATCCCAAAGACTTTAACAATCCACATTTGAATCTTGTTAGGGTTCCCCATGGAAATAAATACATAAGCAAATAAATACCTAGCACATTCCTGCCCAATTCCTACCAGGAGGCTGATAATGCCCGGGAAGGGCGATGCACACACTGTGTGTGTGACCCTCCAGAGCTATGCACCTCTCCAAGGCCTCATCTCCTGGGGTTTATGGAGCTGTGTCAACAAACAGCATGCTAAGAACAGTGTTTGCATGGTATTTATGGTATTTGAGCCGAGCAGCAACCTGTTGTGACAATGTGAACCAGGTCAAGGGACAACAGGGGGAAGGGTGAGGGATGCAGCACCTACAATATGCTTCCCAAAGTACTTACTTACCAGAGACACAGTTAGAATAATGAACAGACACTGAAAAAGCTCCAGCAGACTTGCTCTATGCATTTCCTAATCTGGTTACCAGGACGAGCTGTTCTTTAAGCTAAATATATCATGTCAGCAGCATGGATATTTTGGGGGAATTCTGCAGGGTTGGAGAAGTGACTAAAGTCCAAGGAGGGCTATAGTTATATCTGAAGGCCTTTGCTGGAATGGTGACTTGATTGTTCTGAGTTCTGAATGTTTAACAATTACATGTGTGTTTAACCTGCTCTGCCCTTTGAGTCCCAAGCCCTCCAGCTACATGCTTATCAACATGTACAGACACAGACCTGGAGGGGACCGTGTGTGTTACCACCAGAATGTAATGACAGGATGACAGCACAAGCTGAGACTTGAATTTGCAATAGTGAAGTGTTCCAATGCTACCACCTACAGTGGCTTCTGCCATCACGTTGTGACTTTTTCAGGCCCCTCTCCCTGCCTGTGGCATAAATCCCTAAGTGAACTTGCCAGTTCAGAGCCCAATTGCAGCTTCTGGATCCCAAACCAATCAGTAAACGTAACAATGGGGATTTCTTCTCACAGGATGTAGCAGCATCTACATTAAAATTCCACTAATGTTTAGTTTATTGTGGTTTCCTGCAATTCTACCAACCAGACTCGATGGCACACATGGTCTGTATCAAGAGCCATCAAGGCTTGTCTTAGCTCAGCACCCAGTTCCTGATGACCACCACAAACAAGCCACTTCAGCACAGGATAACACACAGAATATGCCTCCAGCTAATAATCTCTGCTCAGGAAACAGTGCCCACCAGAACTAGTATCTGTGTTTGTTAAACTCAGCTCAAGGCCCTTTCTAATTCCATGTTCCCAGGCAAGTAGCAAAACTGTGCTAATGCAGTTGGGTTTACTCCTTCCCTGAGCAATATTCTTTCAGCCACTGGCTCCAGATAATCCCTCTGCAGTGGAGGCACTGGTTGAGCTGCTAAAATCCATGGGTAGGTGCTATATTGGAATGCCCACCTCTTCATGGGAATCTGAGCACATCTCCCATTCCAAAATCAATCACCTTCCCATATTCTCTCCCTCAATAATAGGTAGTGCCAGTAACCAAAGCACAAAGGGCTGGAAATGTGGATGCATCAACAAAGGAGACCTGAGAACATTTCATCACCACAGCAGCTAAAGGAATTTATGCAACACATTCCTGAGCATCTCCCAGCTGCTTTGAAAGGTTTATTGCATCTCCTATAGGACTTGTTAACTGGCTCCTTTTCTGCCGTTAAGAGGAAGTAGAAGTTTTATGGCTTTCGTTCCGAAGGACGTTTTGATTCATCTTGAAATCAGGCACATTTCCTTTCCTAGCATCTTAGGTTTACTTTTTCCTTTTTAATCTTTTGTCATGCTCCCTCCCTGGGTTTTGGGAGGCTGGCTTTAGGTTTATTTTTAATTCTCTTAGTATGTGACTGGAACCAGTGCTATTTTTTCAGCCTGGGGAGTGAGGCCTCCCCTCAAGCTGTGCTACTTGCCCAATCTTACAGAAATAAGGTGACCTGCTGCACGGGCCAGACCTTTTGGCTGGTTAATGGACAGACACACACTCTAGTGGAAGGTGTCCCTTGTCAAGATTCTCCTCTAAGGACTCTTGTCCCACTCCTAAATCCATGTCCCCACATTTGAATCACCAGGAGTAAGAGAGAATACAAGACCCAACCAAACAGCAAACTTCAAGATGCTCCCACATTAGAATTCTTCACACTGCTGCTGAGTTGCACAAAGTCCAAGGCCACTATCACAAGCTGTGCTACTTCCTGGTGACAGGCATTGTTTGGAGGGTGGCTTTCGCACTTGGGAAAGCTCAATCATGAACAAGGGGGCTGTAAACCCAGAGCTGGTTCCAAAAGCTGACACCACATAAGGACCTTAAGATCATCTAGTTCCAACTCCTCTGTCCAGTTCCTTGGGGTTGGCTTTTTATGGTTTTAATACCAAATATCCACAAATGGAATAAAGATGCTACCAATACACATGACTCCTGTGTGCTATTGTTTTCTGTTTTGATCAATCACACTTACTACAAAAAGATAGAGGAAAAAGCATCCACCTTGTCGAGAGAGGAAGAGCACACGCAATTCCTGCACGGACTGCAACATTCCTCCTCACCTTTGTTCCCCCTACAGCTGGAGTGTTTCGAAATGCAAATACATTTTCAACTCCCTACTGTCCTCTGAGTCACTCAGGCATAAAGAATTTATCTTCTCACAGCTGCAGGCAGGGTAAAAGAGACGAGGAGAGGGCAAAACTGTCTCTTTTCTCCACTGCAAAAGCTTGTATTGCCTGCTCAGCAATCCTGCAATTCTGATTCCCCCCAAACAAGGAATTCTCCACGGGGACCCCGTGTAATGCTAACCCTGTACCCACCAATCTTGAGTTCCAGCAGTTCAGATGGTGAAGCAATAACAGCGCCTGTTATGTTTGGAAATACGCCCAAACCAGCTCAAAACTATTAGTATCAACTTGTGGTCAACTAGTCTGTGTAGCAGAGAATGCATCTGCAGGAAGTGGAACGTGCTCATCTGCGAATTTGGGTCAACTATTGCACTGTTACCAAGGTTTCTGGATCTGTTTTTACCTTCCACGAGCAGAGGCACCTACACCAGATCAGACCCATCCAGGCACCCACAACACACAGGTAAAGCACAGGGATTTACCAAAGAGCTCCAGCGAATTCTCCCCTGTGAGGGTGCTGAGGCGCTGGCACAGGGTGCCCAGAGAAGCTGTGGCTGCCCCATCCCTGGCAGTGTTCAAGGCCAGGTTGGACACAGGGGCTTGGAGCAACCTGCTCCAGTGGAAGGGGTGCCTGCCTGTGACAGGGGGCTGGAGCTGGATGAGCTTTAAGGTCCCTTCCAGCCCAAACCATTCCAGGAGTCTACAATAAAGCTTCAGCATCTACTCCTGATGGAAGCTCTGCAAAGTGTTTTCTGAAGTGAAAATCTTGGAGCAAAGCAATTCCCTTTGTGGTCCAGGACATCACAAGCAGGGATTTCACCTGCACCTTCACAAGTGGGGAGCTCTTGGATTCCAGGACCTGCCTTGTGTTTACAATTCAATCTAGTGTTTGAAGAAAGGAAAGGAAAAAAAAGCAACAAATCTGTAAATATTTACAACTTTCTCCTTTCCAGCAAAGTTTGTTTCACGTCTTGTTTGTCCTGTTCAATTTCACTCTCTAGCAGTAAGAGAGAGAGAGGAAAAGGTTGCATTTACTCTGTAAGAGTAAAACATCCACATAAACTAAATACTAAGACCCCGCTGTCCTGAATTCCAAATGGCAAAGACCCAAAGCCAGCCAGGGAGACTTTTACCATCATGAAAATTCTTAGTAAATGGGATTCCTCACATTAATAGTAGGAATCAAAGTGACAACATAGAGATAACCAACCTTACCCTTGAGCTAAGGGGAACCAGGTCTTTACAGATCCCTGCCAAGATGCTGCCCAAGATCCCATTCCTTATGTTCCTATTCCAGTCACAGTGCTCTCCCTATACTCAAATCTGCAATAAATTAGCATCAAAGGCAACTGCATCACCCAGCTCCAACCCCTGCCACGGGCAGGGACACCTTCCACTAGAGCAGGTTGCTCCAAGCCCCTGTGTCCAAGCTGGCCTTGAACACTGCCAGGGATGGGGCAGCCACAGCTTCTCTGGGCACCCTGAAGCCACAGAGCACTCTGTTTCGAAATACTCAGAGGCATAAATGAGGACATGGCACAGATGCTGCAATGCAGCACTTCCCCAGCTCCCACACTAAACAAACGCATCCTCTGCAAGCACAATTCTTTCTAATTGGGGTCAAGCTAAATCTAAGTTCTATTTGGTTTCCTTTGAGAGGAAAAAAAAAAGGAATAAAGTCTCTCTACCTGCAAAGGGAACACGGCATCTACCTGAGCCAGAGGTTACACTGAATTTGCTGCATAGAATCACAGAATCACAGACTGGTTTGGGTTGGAAAGGCTCATCCAGCTCCAACCCCCTGCCACAGGCAGAAGAACTTCTTCCTTAGATCTAAACTGAACCTCCCATTTCAGCTTAAACCCATCACCCCTTGTCCTATCACTACGGTCCCTAATGAAGAGCCCCTCTTTAGGCTTTGTCAGCTTCCCAACATCAGCAATGAACAGAATTCTGAACATAACTCCAGTAGGTTCAACACTGCATTTCTGAGGAGCACGTGAACACCTTGCTGCTCATTTCAAACACTGTGCTCCTATAAAACTACTTGGTTGTGTTCTGGTTATGAGGTGAAGGAGCAGGGCTCTTTGCTCTCTCCAGTTCCTCACAGGGTCTGCTGTGGTATCTCCGTCCCCTTTCAGCAACTGCTTCCAAATTGAGCAACATTAATGCTATGGAATGAGAGAATGTTAAAATGCTGCTCATGCATGGAGCCTGGTTCACAGGAACCCAGCAACATCACCACAAAACCAATCCCAGGATTACATCACTTGGAATACAGGTCAGAGAGCTGAATCACACCCAAAAGCAACCCTGCTGTGCGAAAAGGAGACATGCCCCTGTTAGCAGCATCCAAATTGGATCTGCTTCACTCCAGGGAGTGTCTTTTAATGCTAAATACAATGCACACCCCTTCAAGGCAGGGGAAGAAGTCAACATGGAGGGCAGAGAAAAGCTTTATTGCTGACTTGTGCCTAACTAAAAAGGGCAGGAGGAGGGTTGGGGATAAAAAGAGAACTCTCTCTTTCCCATGAATGAGCTCACTCTGCTGTCATGCCTCCTGCCCTCCCAGACTGCTCCCACAGCATGAATATATAGAGCTACCCGGTGGTGTGAATTACCTCCCCCTGATGTAGTTCTTCCATGGGTTACTGTCTGTTTCTGTCTCCAAACCACCCTGTTTCTGGCTCTCTGATGCTTTTCAAGCCCCAGCAATAAAGACTGGCTCCAGTTAACAAGCCAATGAGCCCTGCTACAGCCCCGGTTCCATAAGAACAAGCTCATGTTATTCACTAACTGGTAGTAAAACACTTCATGTGAAGCCAGGGAGTGCATGTTGCTGTTCCCATGTGACACCATGTGAACCATGAAAGAATTCCTGTCTTGCGTTTGCTCCACAGCAATGCAGGCACCTCCCCAACTTCTCGAGACGTCAAGTGAGAAGGTAGGAAAGAGCACGTGAAAGCAAAGTTCATCCAAGGAGGAGTACTAACAACAGTGTAATTTTCCCTTGGAAAGGACAGAACTTCTCTGCTGCCTCCCTAAACTGCTGACAGGAAGGTGAAAGGGACTGAGAAGAGCTACAGAAAACTCACCCTGACAAGCTGAGGGAAAAGGAAGCTGTGATGAAACATTTAACTCCTGTAGGCTTTGTGAAACCAAGGGAAAAGGCTGAGGAAGGATATACACTGCAAGGTACCGAGGCAGAGAAACGTATGGATTTAACACACCAGTTTATCATTCACTGACACTGACATATGAAGTCTAATTTCTAAATAAACTTTAAAATAAAGTCTGTTACCCTGGAAAAATAAAATAAATTATTCACTATTTACTCAGAAACTTTGGAAGGTTGAGAACTCATTGCCGGTGGTTCCATGCAGCTCCAGCACTCCCACATCAACCACGCTTGCTTCTTACTAGAATCACAAACTGCTTTTTGTTGGAAGGGACCTTAAAGCTCATCCAGTTCCAACCCCTGCCACGGGCAGGGACACCTTCCACTAGAGCAGGTTGCTCCAAGCCCCTGTGTCCAACCTGGCCTTGAACACTGCCACGGATGGGGCAGCCCCAGCTTCTCTGGGCATCCTGTGCCAGCACCTTTTATTAGATATAAGGAAGAACTACTTCTTTACATCTAATCTAAATCTAACCCCTTCAATTACTCCTCATCCTATCCCTACTTTCTCTATAAAGAGCCCCTCTCCGTGTTTCTTAGAGCCCCTTTAGGCACTGGAAGCTGCTCTAAGGTCTCCCTGTAGCCTTCTCTTCTATTACCCATTTCTCTGCTAGCACCAACTAGCTCTTTGCTGGCTACCATCACTCTGAAATAAGATTCCCAACAGAGGAAGAACTCAAGAATGGAGTGTTTCTTACCGTCATGGCCAGAGTTGAGAAGATGCTCCCCCAGGTCACAGCCAAACACCCTTTCCTTCAGTATCCCCCGTTGCTTCAGCTTCTGCTTGGTTGGGCGCGACTTCATGAATGTCCTCAGGAAGGTGATGAGCTTTCCGTGCTTTTTTGACACTGCACAACAAAACACAGGGAAAACACTTCAGTTTAGGTTGCTCTCAAGTCAGGCAAGGCCAAGCATAACACTTTCTACGGGGCAAGCAAGAACTATAGTGACATTAATTTCAATTATTTACAGATTTTCCAAGGTCCGATACTAAATAAGAGACTTGGCTTTGGTGCTAGTGCAGAAATAACAGGAGAAGCACTGAACACAAAGATGCATTTATCAGTGAAGCAGCTTCAGGTGGGAGCATCCTAAAGGATCTTAAATGGAATACTGGACAGTGAGCAGCACCTGAGAGCTGGAAAAATGAAAAAGGCTAAACCAACAAAGCCAGTGATCTTGTGTGCATTGACCAACACGGTTTGTAATCCACAAGCAGAAAGAAATGCACTGCCATTCACTTTACTCTCATGTTACTCTGATTCTAGTGATCTTAGGGGCCTCCAGAACAAACAAGTGACTAATAATATCTGAACATGGAGAACGTTTGCCTCTAAGTGCCCTTTCCAGCACACCTGCAGTGTGAATGGCCCTCGCTGCAGCTGCGGACGCACGCTCCATTCCAGGGCTTTCTGAGTCTTCTCAAGCCATTGCAAGATGAAAACATTACTGTCTTTGTTTGATTTAATAGCAAACTAAGGCAGCTGACTTGAGGGGATGCAGTTTATCCTCTCCAGAATAAATACAAGAAGCCTACAAAGAGAAGAGAGCTGTCCCTCCAAACCTCCTGTTCCGTTTCCCTACGCATCGCCACACGGGCTCTGTGTTACACTGGTGAAATCGGTCCCTGTTAACACCATCCAGTCCCTTAAGGAGCATAATCCACAGTGGAAGGATATAGGGAATCACACAGGGCAGAAGTGGGTGACACAAATAACCTCACGCAGATTGGAAGGAGAGGCTGAGCATTCCAATGGGACACAGCACAATGCCCTTGGATGTCAACTTCTCTTCCTGAGGCTGAGAGGCCTCCCCAACAAAAGCACCATTGTGTATGTGAGGTAAAACCAGAAGAGTTCTATTGAAAAGAACAAATCACTGGGTAGAAAAGGCTGTGCTGTTTTGTGAGGAAGCCTTTACAGCTCTGGGAAGTTGTAAAAGCTCCTGCAGCACCAGCAATCCCTCTCCCGAGCTCCTGTCTCAGATCCCAGGGAGGAAAGATAACCCTGTATTTCACCTGCATTAAACCCCTGAGCCCTGTCATCGGGTTCCAGCAGAGTAAGGCTGGTTCAAAGAAACCACAAAAGCAATGAAGAGCCCTGGTGACAAAGCGGCATCTCTTCAGGGTCACTGTGCCTTGCTAACACACACAACTGGAAATTCAGTGAGCAGCTTTGGAAGTGGGACTCAGCAAACCTGGGGTTTATGGGGTAATGCTTCATACTGGCAGACAGGGTATTCTTCAAGCAGACACCATGAAAAACCTTGTCCCAAGAACAAGGTCATACCACAGGCTTCAAGTTACTTTAATTCCTTCAAACAGCGGAGTATTTCCCTTTCTATTTTACCAGGTATTGATGCAGTCTTTCTATTTATGACCTTAACATGCTTCTATCTGTGTGAGCAGAGTTCTGCTTTTTGGATGTGGCACTACCACAATCCACAGCAGCCAAATACATCTGAACATCTGAAATCCTAAAATCCCACAAAACCCATGTCTGCATCAACTCCAAGTCACTTAACAAAACACAAGCATTGAGCATCACAAACTGTGGCTATGGGGGCTTTACCTGATCACTGATCATCTCCTATCAGCCCTCCTCAAGAATAAATCATAGAATCCCAGACTGGTTTGGGTTGGAAAGGACCTTAAAGCTCATCCAGCTCCAACCCCTGCCACGGGCAGGGACACCTCACAGCAGACGAGGGTGCTCCAAGCCCCTGTGTCCAACCTGGCCTTGAACACTGCCAGGGATGGGGCAGCCACCCCCCAAATGGGGGTCTCATCCTGACTTGGGGGGAATGTCAAAGTTGGAGGTGATAGGCCTGAGATGGATGCTTTTATAGCAGTCAAATAAAGAGACAAACAAAGCAATGAGTAATACATAGGTGTTCATTTGAATCATTTCACAGACTCCACACACAGTTCTCCATGGATTATCTAACTCCACATAATGAAAAATGAGTCCAATGGAGAAAAACGCAGTCCAACACTGCAGAAATTCTACTAATGCTGGTGACCAGGAGAGCAAGGGGCTTTTGGGTGTCACCTGGGTTGGTAAAAGCAGGAAAAGGTGTGAGGGATGCACTTCCAGGATGCATGCATGTACTTCGCTTGGCACTGATCGCTAACCAGAAAGAGAACCGAGTTCTAAACCACAACAAATCTGTTCTGCCTTTAAGCCACTCGGTGCAGGTTAAAGTAATCATCATTTTCTGCATCAGTGTCCAGAACATTGTTAGGGCAATGCCTGAGCAGGTTCCGTAACCAGAAATTCCCTGATCCACAGCCTGTCCAAAAGTTTGCATTGTTCCTTGGTTAAACAGTTCCCTGCACTGCTCTCCTCTGAATCACTGCCTGCTCTGTAGGAGAGTTTCTCAGGCTAAAGCAACTTCAGAGCTTTATACCTACGCAGGAATGATTCACTGGTAGGAGTTCAGCTTCTCCTGGGTGGGGAAGAAAAGGAGAACAGCAAGACAATCCAAGCAGTCATCTCTTTGCTGACAGGTTACAAAAAGAAGATCAAAAAAGCAAGGAGGTGTCTGATAAGGACAAGCTGTCCCCAGGCATGCTGTCCTGCTGACAAACAGCAAGCAAAGGGGAAAGGCTTTCTATCATCATCTGACCCCTAAACTAGCAACACATCCTAGAGAGGTTTAATTTCTAGCCCTAGTTTCTGGATAAGCACCAATGCCAAGGTTGCTATGAAGAATTCTGCAAAATGGATGTTTTCAACTCCAGAACGCTGGTGCCAAACCTCTGCTGGTGACGGTACCAGCAGCAGCAAGTGGTGCTCTCCTGCTCCTGTCCTATCCACACGTGCCAATCTTGGAAATCCAGAACTAGTGACTACAAGGAAGTTATGGGATCAAGGCACAGGGTTTAGACCAGAAACAGATCCAAAATTGTTACAAATTAAGGACACTTGGATAAAATAATCAGCCTTTTCTACCTTTACTGTCCCACCAAGAAAGTGGGGATATGATACATCTGAACCATTCACAGCTTGTGTCTCCATGTGAGGCGTACAAGAAGTGTCACAGAAGTAAATCCAGGTGAATTCAGAAGTGAATTCAGATAAAGCAGCATTCCTACAGGCCAGGTTTAAATGGTTGCTGTAGTCAGAGACAACAGTTACCAACTGAAAGGCAAACAGAACTCAACACAAATCCTGACGTTTATCCATATTACTTTCCACCTTGGATTTAACCATTATAATCCAAGAAACAGAGGCTTTCCTAGAAGAACCAGGGGCTGATTTTCCTCAGGTCTGGACCAGCAACAAGTTCTCCGTCTCCATAGTGAGACTGGCTGCAAAAAATCCTCATCTGAAGTTGGATTCCTTGTGAAGCTTTGCTGGCATGACTCTGTCTATTAGAAGTGAGAAGAAATCTCACACCCTTGGCTGACATAACTACACTGGCCAAAGACTTTATATGGTGGGAAGGGAGGGAAGGAAAAGGAATATTGATGCCAGGTAGTTTATTGTGGGTTTGGGCAACTGCCATAGTCTGTACCTCCCCGACGAACATCCATCATCAAACCATGCTGCTGTTATACCACCAAGCTTTTATAGTAGAAGTGAGGCCTGAGATTCCCCTGGCTCTGATAAAAACTATTAAATAACAATTACTTCATTAAAAGCAGGGCAAAAACTGCTCAGCCTAATGCCCAGACTGAAAATGCACTTTGGGATATACTTGTTCATGAAGACATGTGCCAGCATCGGCTGGTTCAAGGTACTTGCACAGCTCTTGTTGGCCACAATATGTCCTTCCTGCGTTAGGTCAGGAATGTACCTACAGAGGCTGACAAGAAACCTGGAGACAGACTTTGGACAAGGGCCTATAGGGACAGGACAACCTGCCAGAGGGGAGACTGAGATGAGCTCTTAGGCAGAAGCTCTTCCCTGTGAGGGTGCTGAGGTGCTGGCACAGGGTGCCCAGAGAAGCTGTGGCTGCCCCATCCCTGGCAGTGTTCAAGGCCAGGTTGGACACAGGGGCTTGGAGCAACCTGCTCTAGTGGAAGGTGTCCCTGCCCGTGGCAGGGGGTTGGAGCTGGATGAGCTTTAATGTCCCTTCCAACCCAACCCACTCCATGATACTCTAAAAAGAGCACTGGCTCCCGACTCCTAGGCTTTGAATCATGGCAAACAAACAGGAGAAGCCTTTTAATAAATGAAGCTTTCCTGTGTCCCCCAAAGCATCTTGTGCTTGCATTTTCCTCCCCTTTTCAGTAAGAAAAATCCCATGAAACAAAGGCTCCAAGAACGAAACACATTTCAAGACTTGCACATTTATGGTGCAAGGTAAGTGCTTGCTCGGTGCCCATCCAGCATATGGTCCTGTATTTTGAACAGGATAATGGCACCTTCCCATAGGACACTTTGCCAAGGGAAACCAAACCCATGCTAAACAAACACAGAACACCTGCTTTATCTCCTGTTGCTATCACTAATATGTTAGATTTGAACTTGACAACAGAGTTCTTTCTAATACAGGGTTAGTAAACTTTGACTTTGAAAGAAAATCTTGGAGGGTGTGTGCTGCCCCAGCACATGGCCAGCTTTATTGCTCTTATTCTTCTGTGTGTCTTTTACTATTAGCAATGATTTGACAGACCACAGAACCCAGCTGTGTGCGGAGAGCGTGGTGCTAAGGTCAGGAATGTGAACACGTGTGGCTGCACAGTTGAAAAGACAACCAACCAACCTGTGATATCCAGTCACAACATCAAAGCTGGGAAAAGGCATGGGGATGAAATAGAAAAAGCTACAGGTAGGTATTACAAACCAAAAGCCAAATCCCTCTTCTCTGAAGAGAGACTTGCTGCAAGTCAA